AGTGGGGAACCACTGGCGCGATCGCCAAGGACCCGAAAAGTTTGGGTCAACCGCTGAGGACGGTGCTTTTCAGCGCCTGGCTGACTGCGATGAAGTATCGCATAGACAACTTCACCAGCGATCCCACGAGCAAGGACTTGGCGATCAAAACGGGGATACTGGCGGAGGACGGGTTCCCGTACTTGCAATGGGATCCAGACACGTCGAAGCACGTCCGGATCCCACAAGACCCCTTGACGATCGAGATCGCCCTCCAGACCTTGAACCAGCTGCAACAGCTGCTCATCCACCCCAACGTGATAGGTCGCTTCCATCCACTGAGGAAGCTCACGGAGGGGATGGTCTCCGATGTCATCCCTTGGACACTGGAAATCCAGAACCGCGCGCAGGAAGCGCAAGCGGCCTATGCGCTGATAGGGAGGCTGATCCGCAGCGGATGCACCCATCTAGCAGCGTCCACTTTGAGGCCCGCCAAGCTAGGTCGCTCGCCCCTAGCCACGGCGGTGGACAAGATGATCCAAGAGCTTTAAGGCCTGCTCAGTCCAACATACTCCAGCTTCAGCTTGCAAATCCACACCATCACAGTTATGCCCATGCTGTTATCTTTTCAATTTTGTGGACAGCCAGTCGCATGCAGGGTGGCTTCTGTGTCCAGCAGCAAGATCTTCGAAAGTTCTTGCAGTGGCTCTCCACTCAGTCTAGACCTCAGCCCATTTGGCAAAACTTGGTATGGCAAGTCTTAACTAAACCCTGGAGCCACCCCTTAAGGCAACACGATCCTGCGCGATTTTTGTTGCACTACTTGCAGCCAATGATTTTCGCTGAAGGCGAAGGTGTCTGGCAAGCACGCAGCATTCCTTCTCCATTCCATGCAGAGCCAACTTGTCAGGTGTCGCATGGCGGACATGCGTGGCCGATACACTTGCCTGCAGCCAGGAGCTCGGATGCCACAAGCTCGTTACAACAGCTTATCACGCAGTGGCACCAGCAAGCCCAGGTTCACGGGCTGAGCACCTTATCGCCAGTTCTGGCCCTGAAGATTCACAGGTTTGACGATAGGGGTGAAAGAATTCAGTTCTCCATAGCAAATGAATGGAGGTTAAAAGTCCCCCTCTTCATCAATAAGGGTTCTGACGTTCATCATCTCCCATATGAAGCCTGTACCATAATCCTCCACGTGGGAGAAAGTGTATCTCAGGGACAATACTGTGCGGTCCTGCTTGAAGAAGGAATTCCGTGGTTCTTCACCAATGATGGCAAGCGTGCAATAAAAGCCAAACCCAAAGATATCCCCCTGATCTGTCAGAGAGCTTACTTAGTTATCCTCAAACAGTGCGATGACTTCTCCTAGCAGCTTTTCAAAGGGCAAACTGCCTTGCAATTCGGCAAAGCCGATCCATCTCAGTTCAGACCTGTAACCTAGATACATGGCTGCTATGTTATATCGAGTGCTGTTGTTCAGAGATCTGAGCTGGAACTGCAGTAGCTCGCTTGTGGGGCCTACCGGGCCGGG